CAATTATTATGCTTGCTTAGATCCACTTGTGAATTAGCAAGCGATGATAAATTCTATCGCGCTGCTGTTTGTTCTGCATTTCTCAAAGTGAGTCCAGACAACACAGCTTGGAACTGTGAATATTAATTACCAACACAATGATATCATTAATTTTTTTTTAATCTGCTGTGGGTATTGATGTGTGGCGGTGCTCCATACATGGTCAGGATGCAAGGTGGAAGAAGGCTGACAAGAAAATTAAGTAAAAATGAAACACACTGGGATTTTTGTTAATTACAATATTCATCTGTCACATTTGCAGAAGGAGAGATGACTGGAGACTGCAGGCTTCAGGGATAATATTGCCATCCTAAAATTAGCCAGACAGATTTGTTGCCAGGATTCCAGGATTATAAAGCAAAACCACTGCAGCACAAGTTGTGCAGTTGGGCTGTTTAGTTTTCTTTAGTGTTTTCTACAGTGCTGTTGCCATCATTATAATGGTCAGGAAGGACTCTTTAATGTGAAGCATTCGTTGTACATATTTATTATAGGATGGTGTGTAGAGATTGAGCCACATTCTGATCTCACTAACACTGCTGTTAATCAGGATTAACAGAATTGTATTCAAATCATCTGGGTTACTCTAGTGTAAAACAATTGTGAGATTAAAATTAGGCATATTGGGTCAGATTCCTCTCTTTTTTACACCAGTTTAACTCCATTTACTTAAGTGAAATTACTCCTGCTTTCCCAAATGTCTACTTAGCAGCTCCAAATATAGCATGTCCAAATCCAAACCTTATACATTTTCAGGGCCTGATTCTGGTCTCTCTAGATCTGTTGCCAGCTAGGAATAATTTAGCTAAAACAAATGGAGTTACCTGTATAAGTGTAATCAGAATCAGGTATTCAATTTGCTGAATTCAAATGTCACGCCGCAACTTCTCCAAAGAAGTGCAGACTTGTACACACGACTCACTTCGGAGTCTATATAATTATACAGCTTTCATTAGATTTCTCAGCAATATTGGAGAAACAAACGTGTATTTATATCTTTGTTAAGGGACAACAGAGCAATGTTTCCAGGGCAATTAGGGCCTTTCGGGATAAACCATACTGAGGAAAAACTCCCACTGACCTCAATGGGTTGTCACAGTGCTTCAGGCCCCAGTTAAGCAAAGCACTAAGCCCCACTGAATTCATGTACTTAGGTTCTTTACTGAGCTATGGCCTCAGTTAGGAATATAGGATCAGAAAAACAATATACAATAGTATAATATACTGCAAAGAACAATGCTGCACTGGTAAAGGGATGGAATAGATGATTCAGTGTCTGTTCAATCCCTACTTTCTATAGATAAGATTCTTCTATATGCAGGACAAAAAACACAATAGGGGACAGGAAGTTGAGCAAATTCCCCCCTCAGGAGCTACCACTGAAACGGCTCATTGTAGGCTAGGGTCTGTACCCCACAAAGTAGGCAAAGCATCTCAATAGCTCTGCAATGGTCCAGGCCATCCATGCGGAGATCCTGATCTTCCATGACCCTCCTTGTCTACCATCTTGGGCCCTCTACAGCAATGCAGTTCCTAAAAGAGTCCCCGAGCCTCCATATCACTTCAAAAGTTTTTTTTTTCTCTTACTTAATTGGCTTCTCAGAGTTGGTAAGACAACTCCCACCTGTTTATGCTCTCTGTATGTGTGTATATATATCTCCTCAATATTTATTCCACTCTATATGCATCCGAAGAAGTGGGCTATAGTCCACGAAAGCTTATGCTCTAATAAATTTGTTAGTCTCTAAGGTGCCACAAGTACTCCTGTTCTTTTTGAGCCTCCATACTGGCCTCTGTCCCAGAATTCAATCCCCAATTTGGAGTGAGGAGGTTGTCATTGTGGAGAGGAAGATAATGTTAACCAGGTTACATCTGGTTCTAACAGAAACAGACCAACTCTGGGCTATATTCCTTCCTGGTCGAGTTAAAAAGATTATACCAGCGATGGGAGTTAGCTCTGGAAGGGCTGCATAGAGGACACCTCATAGAACTGGGCATTATGTGGGGCAAAACACACAACTGCTGTCTTCAGAACCACTCCATTAGGATTTCACATGGAAATTATATTTGTGCTCAAATCTCATGCTTGAGATATTTGTTTATTTTTGCCTCGTTGGTACTTATTGCAAATTCCTCTGCCATCCTGGTTACAGTAAGGATTGAGATAAGTTGGGGGGGACCCTAATTCAGTCTCTAAGATCTGCCAACTGTAATCAATCTCTCTGTGTCCAGTGTCAATGTATCTGTTTTGCCCTCCATGTATCTTGTTGGCTAATGCTTTCCATACAGTTTATCTAGCTGAGTTTTCTAAAATGAAGTTGGATGTTAAAGCTGGATGGCAGGCAGGTAATAACAGGGAACCTTTCATTTTTGAGTCTGGAAATATTATGCACCTTAGTTGCAAAATTAGTAACAGTGTGATTCTGATTGTAATTTGGGTAATATTCCAGTTAATAATAGCCTCTCATTAAAATATGCATTAAAAAGGCCATAACATTAGTGTAATGGAGACTTTCCAGCACATCTCTCTGTTCCGGCTTCCCCAGTAAAGGCATTAAATGTATGTCTTAATTAGACCAATATTAACAGGAATATTACACAAAGTAAAATCAGGCCATAAACCTCTATTATGGGCTATTTCCATCATCATTCCTCCCTCCAGCCTCCACATACCGAATCATTTCCCTTCTCCAGCTCTAGTTCCACTGATTGCACTTTCTAGCTTTTAGCATCTAATGATGCCTTTTTTATACTGCCAGGAACAAAACCTTTCAAATCTTTCAGAGAAAAGATAAATTATCTGGCTGAGACTTAATTCTTAGGATTGTTGGTTACTGTCCCAGTGTTCTTTCAATCGAAGTACTAGGATAACTAACAAGATGACCTATAATAAAATAGATTAACTTGGTCACTTTCCTTTTATTTTAACGTATTCAGTTCTAAATGATCTGTTACAGAGGAGTCCATGCAGAAGAAAGTCCTTCGCTTAGGTTTAATATTCATCTTTTCCATTTGTTAATAACCTAGAGGCTCTCTCAGAGTCTTGACGTAACATCCATAGATGTCTCCTTAAAAACACTGTACTGCAGGCATCTCTGCAAACCTCACAAACAAAGTTCTAGCAAAGCAGCCCCGGTTAGATCAGCCAGTGGATTTCGTACATAGTAATAAAGACTAAGCGGAGGGTTACGCCTGCACGGTTCTATTAAGTTTCCTCTCTCATTTCCACATCACAGCATGCTCAGTCAAAACTATTTCAGGCCTGCACTGATCCAACTGATTATATAACAACTCTATTATCCTATCATATTACATATTATCATCAAAGAGAAAAAAAATCAAAGTCGACTGTGGGGAGCTAAAATGGTGTTGTTTTGATAAAGAGCACATTGGTGTGACATAAATAGACTAATCTGATTTATTATTATTTCTAATGCTGAATAATGTGGAGGAGTGGGGAAAAAGAGGCATCTGAAAATGAGAATGCATTGCAAAATGATCATGCAAGTCTCTATGAACTGTAAAGACACTGTTTAGTTACTTGGAGTATTATGAAGTCTCGTTATAATTAACTCCACTACTGCATGCCTGTACCCAATCAGAGCTTTCCATGCAGCGATTTCAAGGGTGGGAGGATAAAACTATTGCTTTGGTTACTTTCAAAATAAAACAAAAAATCAAGGAAGCACAAAAAAAAAGATTTATATAAAGAAATATTCAAACAAAAGATTTTGTACAATGAAAAACAGAGTGACACAGAAACAGGCAAGAGTTTATATAGAATCCAGAGAGCCAGAGATGGAAAAGACACATCAGATCTGCCCATCCCCCTTTACAGGGTGAATGTTATGATTAATCCGCTACTGAAGTCAATGGGAATTCTCATGGGAGTCAGGATTTGGCTTTTTTGTGTATGATTGTATTCTATACAATGTTTCTTCTAGTGCTTTGTCCATCCCAGTTCTAAATTCCACACACAAAGCTGGACAAATATGGCAAAAAAGCATCCCAAAGTGTATTTTAATTAGATTTCATTGTTATGGTTTTATTATTATTGTTTGTCTGCAGATGTTCATACAAGTGAGTTTTTCTATGTGAGAATGGTCACAAAGCAAATGGTCCAAGATGACCCATGCTGGAAGTGTTTGGGCAGCCGTCATGAAATCGCTTTGATTCTTCCCCATCCACTTTACAAAATTTTCAGTCAACCAATCAGGGAACAGAAACAACACCATGTAATTTGGGTGATCAGTCATGTACCATAGAATCATAGAAATCTAGGGCCAGACGGGACTTCAGTAAAACATCAAGTCCGGCCTCCTGTGCTGAGACAAGACCAAGTAAACCTACACCATCCCTGAGAGGTGTTTGTCCAGCTATTCATAAAAACCTCCAATAATGGAGAGTCCACAACCTTCTTTGCAAGCCTATTCCCTTATAGTTAGAAAAGTTTTCCTAATATCTAACCTAAATCTCCCTTGCTGCAGATTAAGCCCATTACAAACCATTGATAACTACTCTTTGAGTATGGTCTTTCAACCATTTGCAAACCTACCTTACAGTAATTTCATCTAGACCACATTTCCCTAGTTTGCTTATGAGAATGTCATGTGGACTGAATCAAAAGCCTTACTAAAAATCAAGATATATCACTTCTAGTGCTTCCCCCGCATCCACCAGGCCAGTAACCCTGACACAGAAGAAAATTGAGTTGGTTTGGCCTGATTTGTTCTTGACAAATTCAGGCTGGCCATTCCTTATAATCTTATTATCCTCTAGGTGCTTACAAACTGATCGTTTAATAATTTGTTCCAGTATCTTTCCAGGTATCGAAGTTAGACTGACTGGTATATAATTCCCCAGGTCCTCCTTGTTCATCTTTTTAAAGACAGGTACTATGTTTTCCCTTCTCCAGTCCTCTGGGACCTCACTGTCCTCTCTGGGTTCTCAAAGATAATTGCTAATGGTTCTGAGCTTGCTTCAGCTAGTTCCTTAAGTACTCTCAGATGAGTTCCATCTGGCCCTGCTGGATTGAATACATCCAATTTATCTAAATATTCTGTAACCTGTTTGTTCCCTATTTTGGCTTGCATTCCTTTCTCCTTGTCAGTATTCATTGTGCTGAGTATCTGGCCATCATTAACCTTTTTAGCAAAGACTGAAGCAGAATAGGCATTAAACACCTCAGCCTTCTTCAGGTCATCAATTACTACCTCTCTGTTTCCATAAATAACTAATCATGAAGAATTAAAAATAGCCGTGCAACAAATAGTGTGTGAATATAACCCTTGGGCTGAAATATGTTCACAAAAAGACCCAGAGTTTGAGCTGCAATTGAAGAGCAATTGCCACAGTTCAAGGAGGCATAGTGCCAAGGTGGCTTTAAACTACCTTCATACTTCCCTTTATTCTACACCAATATACACTGGCCTGGGCCCTAGGCAGACTTAGAGCAGTGTATGGACTGCTCTAAGTGGTGCCAGCTACCAGGAAATCACCTGGACATGTTTATGCCCCGGTCATATCTCCCTTTCCCCCACAGGAAGAGGCATAGGGGCAGCTATATCCCCACGGCTTTACATTTACTACTTGATTCTGGGACTGCCTCCTTCAATTGTCCCCTGTTTTCTCTACCCAAAGCATTTCTTGTCACCCAGCATCAGAGAGTGTACCACAAAATACACGCCGACATTTTCATCGCGTTCAAGAGGGGGATGAATGCACAGACAAGAGGATTCAGCTAACTATACTACAAGTGCTCGTACAAAAGGGGTCTTATAAAGATTTTATAGAAGGGACTGGTTTCAAAATGTAAACAAAGACATGAAGATCGTATTTAAGATAAGAATACCAGAAAGATTTTGGACAGATTTACAGATCTTTCAGGCAGAAAAACCATATCCTAAGGCACATAGATACCCTCTGTCTAAATGGTGTCCCCCAAGACACACATTCTCTCTTTACATTCAGAGATTTAAGGTTAAAAAGGAGTGTTATAATTATCTAGTCTATCCTCTTTCATAACACAGGCCATAGGAATTTGACCCAGTAATTCCTGGATCAAAACCATAACTTCTGGTTGAGCTGTAGCATATCTTAAAAAGACAGACAGTCTTGATATAAAGATTTCAAATGATGAAGAACACACCACTTCCTTAGGTAAGCTGTTCCAATGGTTAATTCCCCTCACTATTAAAAATGTGCACTTTATTTCTCATCTGAATTTGTCTAGCTTCAGACAGGAGAATCTATAACTTCTCAGTTAGAACACATTACAAACATTGAACTTCTAGAATTCAAAACCTTGTAGAACTTTTGACAATTTAGTTCCATTTGTCGAGAGATTTTTTTCCCTCCCTTAATAAAAAAAAAAATCCAACATTTGTAAAACTTTTTCAAGTTTTTTGAAAAAAGTTCTCCAAGCCAAATTCTCCCCTCAAGGACAGGCAGAATTTGAACGTTCAGAGCTTTGTGAAACCAAACCTTTTGGTGATTTTCTTGGATTCCTAACATACATACCAGATATGCACGTTGTGTACATACAGATTATTCCTTAGTAGCAAAAGAGGACCACAATCATTTTCACTTTTGGGAGGCTCTTAGAATAGCATCACAAACAAAAATATATGTAACAGTGAGTCTCAGAAGACCAGTAGATCTCATGTCTTGAAACAGATGTCTAGTTGGTGATCATAGAGGTGGATCACAGAATGTTAAGACTGCTTTCCAAATGTCTACTGGTTTCAAAGCTTCTAACATCATCCTAAGTCTTAGAGTCTATTGGGTACTTGGAGCATGTCACTAGTAGGCTTGTTAATTATGTACACACAGTACCCATTAACACTAAATAAAAACATATTTCCCATAAATTAGGCTAAAATGTTCATTTCAGTGTCATGGTCACTCAAAACTCTAGTTTAGTATTTCACGCATGTTATGGGAGGTTTTAGTGTGCAATACCAGCATGATTTTGCAGAAATTCCCAGAAGAGGAAGTCATAGAAAGCTTTCAAAAGCTGTGGATAGTTGTGTGTTATAACACACTGAAATTACAGACTTTGACTTTACTGAATGATAAAAGCCAGGAGAAGAGAGTTGAAAGTAGAGGTCATTACTGTCATCTGCCCATTAATGCCCCTGACAAATAAACCATAGGAAGGCAGTCAACATCCCATAAGTGCACACAGCTGTTGAGGTCAGATCTGAAATGGAGGTTTGCATGAATTTGAGAAAACATATTATCCAGATACACTTAGAACTATATATGGGGGATTATTGCTTTTATATAGAAAGTATATGCTAGTGTAATCAGCAACAGAGATGATTTGTGCCAGATAGATAGATAATCCTTTTTTGTACATTGAATTAACCCTGAAGGCATTTTAAAAGGTAGGATTATTAATTCAGACACATCACTGTACCCTGATATGGGTCCCGATCCTGCCTCCATTGAACACAAAGACAAAACTCCCAATGGACCATATCCTGTTTGCATTCATCATTACAAACTTCCACTAGCATCAGTGGGAGTTGGACCAGGACCTAGAATTTGGTTCTGTAAAGTCAGTTTGGTTCAAATCATTAGTTGGGTGACGAATGATCCCAAAGGAAAAATTTCACTTAGTGACATCATCAGCCTTCACTCCATCTGGCTAATGCAATTTGCTCCCGGTATAACCCTTCAAAACACCGGAGTGCAACTGTTCTTGCCACATACAGGCACATACTTCTGCCTTTCAGACTAGCCAAAAAGCAAGACCAGATCTACTACTGCAAGTTCCCAGTAGGCCAAAAACGATCAAGATACTGTTCCTTGAATTCTTCCTGAGACCAACAAAGGCTTTCCACTATTTACAAATCAAAAGCATTTGGAGACAATCATCATCATTATTTTTTTATTTATTTAAAACAAGGAATGCCTTGTCACTATTATATAAGAAAAAAAATATACATCCGCCTATTTATACCCATCCTCATCCAAGCATTCCAAAAAATATAATTCCTATTCATGCAGGTAGTTGCTGCACAAAAAATTAATAAAATAATAGCCTTCATAATAATAATAATAATAATTTTTATAAATAAGAGCAAAGTAACAAAAAAAACCTCTATAGTTCCAACAATTTCCCCAATTTCTCTTAAAAAATGTACTTGCACAACAAATTGTTGGAACGGTAGCACATGGTGAAAGTAAATGTAGTTAAATCAATTATATTATTTGCTTTTGATTATTAATTCCATTGCTAGTTTTTCTTGTGTTTTTTTTATAATGCATACCAGTTTTACAAAGTGCATGCTTTATTTTTATTTTATTTTATTTTTAATTTTGAACTGGCAAGCTAAAATGATCCATCTTTTCCTGCCCCCTTTTTTTTTAATGTTAATACAATCTAAAATCTAGCATTCAAAAATTGATCATGATACACCTGATATATTGACTGCTTATGACACATGCTTGACTTGGCAAAAACAAAACAAATTGGCTCCCCCGTCCCCTATTCTTTTGGAAGCAGTCTAAAAGTTAAAAGCAGGCTGGAACACAATTGCTTCAAGGGAAAAAAAATTAATACCTGATGCATTTTTGTCACATGGCACTAGTTGTGGAATTGCACACACACACACTCAACACACACGCGCACACGCACACAGCGACCTGCTTGAGAGGAAAATAGTTTATTAGGTCAGGAGTGCCAGTGGCACATGAAGGCTCCCAGCTTTGTGTGCAACTTTGGATTTGGTACCCACTTCATGTCACCTCGAATCCTCTGAAATCCACCGAGGGGGTAATGTAAGGCATACTTTGCTGGAACAGAATTAATCCATGCTTCATGCTCAAGAGCTGAGTCTCAGAGGAGGACTGGCTTTTTCTATTCCCTTTGGCCTCGCTCCGTCTCACTCAAGAAACAAAAAAGGTAATTGGGGAAAACAAGTAAAGCAAAAGAAGACAAATCACTTTAAATGGACTTTCGCCTTTTCATCAGCCTGTGGTTATCTGTAAAGCTGTGCAACCCAGGTGAGATGGAGCTAACAGGAGATGGGAAAAGGCTGTTTTTTAATGTGCTTGGTGAGATCTCTTCTATCTTGTAAGAGATGGAGTGAAAGTACTGAGGATTCAGCTTGGAGCTGAACGAATTTTGGTGAGACACCATCCGGCTGGTGTACTCATGGGACCTGTAACACATGCAGGAACAAACTGACTGAAGGTCTGTTACTTCGGCCTTGTACCGTGGCCGAACATGCTGGGCGTCCTCTTGAATGTGAATAATCATGCTGTTGCGGTTCCCTGCCAGGGATGCCCGCTCCTCGGCATCCCGTCTCTCGTCCTCACTGTTCATGGTTAAGAACCTGAGAACAACCAGATTTAGAAATGCCCCAATGACTGTCAACCCCACTAGAATGTACATAAAGCTAAAAGCCACATAGAGTGGCTTCTTTTGGAGGGCCCCTTTGGTCTGCAGGGCCACATAGTCGCCAAACCCTATCGTAGTCAATGTTATAAAGCAGTAATAGTAAGCATGGAAAAAGCTCCAGTCCTCATATTGGGAAAAGGCTGCTGCTCCAATGCAGAGGGTTCCCATGCAGGAGAAGAAACCCACAGTGACCATGTTTTCCATGGAGACATCAGTGCTCCTCATCCCGCAGCACTTTTTGATCCGTTTCAGGAGGTACTTGACAAAGGTGTTCATGCGCTCGCCCAGGCTCTGGAACATGACCAGCGTCAGTGGGATCCCCAGGACAGCGTAGAACATACAAAAGGCTTTCCCGGCATCCGTCCCTGGGGCGGCATGTCCATAACCTGGAGAAGAAAAGGAAAAGATAGGAGAGTCAGCAAGGAGGGGGAATTCGTAAAGCTTCCTCATCATACCGGCAGCGCAAATCATTAACAAAAATAACTCAAGCACCCTGTCAACACCCACGTCTTCCCCAAGCATAATACTCTTTCTGGAGAAGTCAAAGCCACCTCTTTCAAAGTCTTTGGAAGGCACAAGTGACTCCTACATTAATGAGGACTTATTTGCTGCTGCAGCAGTGGAAGTGTTCAGCCTGGGAGTTCATGAGAACACTGCAGTGATGAACTGCCCTATTGTAACAGGGGGCTCCCAAAGCCAGCGAAAACCCTAGGTGTGCATATGCCTGAGGAGAAGACTGGATGAGGGAACGGAGAATCTATTCCGTTGTGTTCCAATTTAAATAAAAACCTTGTCCTTGTAAGCAAGCAAGAAGAGTGGCAACACTGCTGAATGGCAAACAAAATTATACAGAGTTCATTTGCTGGAGACGTTTCACTTCCTTCCTGGAGGATTTACTATGTGTATAGCATAACGTTCAACCTCCATAACTGGAAATGGTTGTCTTCACCAGGGCATTTAAAAAAAACAAAAAAAACCAACACACACATACACTTGATACCTGGCATTGGAATCTGGTCCATTGCAAAGGCAGGGGATTTTGATGGCCTCAAAGGTAAGTATTCTCTGGCAGGAGTGATTCAGCAGTATCCAGAGAACCATCAGAGGTAGAGAAACCATCCCAAACCTCTCTCCAGTTTGTTGGTGGAATTTTAACAAGCTTCTCCTAGGGACCCTGTGAAAGACACTCATTGCTCGAAGATTGTAGGGTTTTGAGGGGAGGGTTAAGGCTTGCACAATTTTTAATTATAGAGGAATGCACAATTGACTCAGATCCTTCTATTCTTACTAGAAATGGTTGGAACTATCATTATATCAGGTGACTCAGGGAGTCCAGGACTGGGTATGTGGAATGTTTCATGTTATATTAGTAGGGATATGAAAACTGGTTTGCATTGAGTGAGAACCTACCCAAACCTTCACCCAAACCATTGTGACTTAACTTTTTCACCCCACATTGTTGCACAAATCAGTACTTCCTGCTAGGAGTGGGAGTGTGAAAATACCTAGATCCCTGCGCGGATACAAAATTTGTATCCGCACCCGATCTGCAATCTGCAAACAAAGTCCGCAGATATCCATGGATATAAAGCAGATATCCACAGATTTGCAGGGCTCTAAAAATACCTCACGAGAGAAAGACCTAGCAGCAATTCTTGTCCAGTTTCGCAGTCCTAAGAGGTTTCACAGAATCTAAATGTCCTATTTCCCACTCCATTATGTTGGGGAATATGACTGTTCTGGAATCAATGGCGAGACACAGGTGTAAAACTGGAGTGGAGAATCAGGCCTATAGATGGTCATGACCTAGTGAGTCATCTAATCCACCTCCTTGCCAGTGCAAGACACACACGGGAGGGCGGGATAAAGGTCTCAACTTTTAGATACTTATCCAGACTGAATTTAATCTCTAAGTGTAAAATTCACTCCCATGCAGAGAGATTGCACAAGGTCTTACTCACCACCTATTTTCCACTTAAGCCCTCCAAATAGGAATGTAGATGGTCTCTTGGCCCTCCACACAGGAGTGAATTTCTTTTGACATTTCCCCAGTCGATACTGTAGCCCTACTCGGATATTTTCAGTCAGACTCTTGGCCCAAAAACTACCCATTTGCAGTGTGCACAGTATGAAATGCAACTAGTAGTTAGCTACACTGCTGCTGGTAACGGTAGTAAATTGTCCTGCACTTGGCTACTGATGCGATGAGCTAGTAATGCACTTTCACCCGAACTCAGTACTGAATCCCATGCAAAGTAGAAAGAAACACTGGTCTAGAAAAAGAAACAACAACTAGAAACTACATCTTCAAAGAGCCAGTAACAACCTTTATTAACTCAACTGCTAGTTGCTGGCAGCTGGATGGGGATATAAAAACAAGTCTGCAAAAAAAAAAAAAATAGAAACAAGTTATTTTTAAGATTACAGAAAGAACAAATTGATTCACCTGTTGTACCAGACCTTGTTTTCAGCTCTTTACAAAGAGCAGCTTCCAAATTTCCTGGGGGAATAAATGCCTCCCATAGATTGATGCTGGATTTGTTCCACCTGACTATCCCTCAATAAAGGCTATAATTGCCTCTCATTACTAAGATCAGCTTTTGAACTACAGGGGTGTTAATTAAAGCAAGGACATCTTCCCATTTTATAGCTTTAGTTACAGCTGATAAAGAGGAGGAAAGCTTCAGAAAATGTGATTTTCCAGATGGTGACAGAGATGGCAGTTGGTAGAAACAGCTTTCACTTTGGGCTCTAAAGAAAATGGTTAGGGATGAAAAAAGATTTCCTATGAAATTGTCCAATCCCACTCCTTAAGGATCCAGAGAGACAATTTAGGAAGATTATAATAAATTAATATTATGCACTTACAGAGCATCTTCCATCCGAGTTTCTCAAAGTATTTTACAGACCCAGTAATTAATTCACTTACAATACCCCTGTGAGATAGAGAAGCATTCGTAGCCCCATTTTGCAGGTAGGAAAGGTGAAGCACAGATAGATGGTGACTTCTCACAAGGTCACACAGCTAGAAAGAGAATGCTTACTATGTAACTTTAGCCATTAGACCCTACTCACTGCATCAGCGTAGGTTTATACAATCTGATATGTTAGATCACAGTTTGAACATAAACACGTAGAACAGAAAAGGCCTTTTTTATTGAGATGGAATCAGACCCTTAAAATAGGTTCATGAGTGCTAGGCAAAGAGCATTTCTTTAGTGCAGACAAGGCCTTGGAGCATACGTAGCTCTGTGGCACTGACCTCAGCGATTAACAGTGAAATGCTCTGAACTTTACAAAGCAAAGGCAAAACTCTCATTTGTTTCAGTGGTGCAGAATCAAGCCATAAACACTGTAAATCAGCAAAAAGCAAAGGATATTAGTTACGTTCTTTAAGTTTTAATAATGTAGGTCTGAAATTTAAAATGGGACACTGTCCCTTTTAATTTCAAACTCACTCAGAGGCCCAATGTCAGAAGCCAGAGAGGAATCAAAGTTTGCCAGAAGAAAGTGGAGGATAAACAGTTTCTTACCTGTAAATAGTGTTTCTCCAGTGGATAAGGTCAGGCTCCAACTAGATGGGTTTTACTTACAACAAGCCTCGGTGGACACAAGCGACCACTTCAGTAGCAGAAGATGACTGCCTAATAGGGTGACCAGACAGCAAATGTGAAAAATCGGGATGGGGTGGGGGGGTAATAGGAGCCTATATAAGAAAAAGACCCCAAAATTGGGACTGTCCCTATAAAATCGGGACATCGGTCACCCTACTGCCTAAACAGGGTGTCTAGAGACTCTTGTTAACTTCCCCAGCACAAAAGCCACTGCACTTTACTCAAATATGAAGAGAAGTACTTACAAGTTGGGAGATGAGAGACACTGGGTTGGAATGAGCCTGGTTACAGAAATAAAGGCGTCTGAAGACACATGGTATTGGGTTTTCAACTTAGATCATTTTCACCACCCTGAAAAGGGTGTGAAGGTTATGCAGAGGACCCTAGGACCATGATATTGAGAAGACATCCACTTAAGAAGCTAAGGGACTGAAGAAAACCAGGGGACTTGGGCATCCACAAGAAAGGAGAAGAGGTGCATAAAGGTGACACACCATGTCTACACCAGGGAGTGGAGCTCCTTCTGCCAGGTTAGAGTTTCTGCTTATTCTGAATGTGAGCAAGTTCGATGTGCCTGGGAGATGAGCAGCAGATAGAGGAAAGAGGTTTTGCTCTGCTCAGCTGAGCAGTAGGATCAAACAGTAGAGAAGCCCAACTCGTGGAGCCTTAACTTGGAGCAGGGCCATATCTATCTAGGTATCTAGAAGGCTCCCATCACCGCAGTATCTGGAATGGCAAAATGCAAGGACCTGGTTAACAGCAGGCAGACATCTCTGAGTTGGTGGACTGGGAGAGTGATCCCTAACGTTTAAAGAGACATTACCAGATGGAACAGGGGGTGTACAAATGACTGTCACCTTGAATGGTAGGAACAAAGTGGCTTCCGTACCCATTCTTTCCCTGTTATGCCCAGATGCTTGCTTAGACTTCACCAATGGGATTCTTCAGTTGTGTCCTGGTTTGGAGAAGGACAGTCAGGCATGAGGAACATGTCGTATCTCAAAGTGTTCTCCCTGTTTTGAGCCAATCTGTGTCAATTGCAGTTTCCTCCCCAGCTACAGCTGAGGCGATATGGAGGTGTCCGGTTCCTCAAACAGTCATGCAGAATGGTTGAGAGGTTTAGTCATGAGAGGCAGAGACTCGGGTCACCACAGCCTCATCCCAAATGGGTCACTGAGTTATTTTCTTCTTTGCTGGCTCTGGGGGATGCCTCTGGTACTCAACAGCACACTAAGGACAATTCTGGAAAACCAGCGAGATCTAAACACTCTCGTTTGCTTTGTTCTTAGCAGAGTATAACTTGGGAGGCTTGAGGCAACCTGCTTTGTTCCATTAAGTTGGCTGTTCCATTGCTTGCTTGTGCCCTTTTAAGTACAAGGGAAAAGAAAACCCACTTAGTTTGAGGCCGGCACTGTCCAGTCAGGGAGAAATACTTGGTTACTTTCCTTTCAAGCTTCTAAAAGAGTAGTACAGACACGGTATTGGCATCTTAAAGTCCCACTCATCCAACAAGGTGAATTCCATTGGATCACATTGAGTTCCTGTGAGAAGACAGATGCTCCCAGGACAGCTGGGAGTATTAAAGCACCAGCACTAAACAAACAATAAAATGTAACTGAGATTATGCATCTTATCACCTGGAATAAGCAAGTCAATGATAATTGGTATAATAAATTAAAAGGGAAACAAATCCTAAACATTCCCAGTGCAGCATGTCTACACTGTGGCCACCCCATTTAGACCATTAGCAGTCCAGGGCACAGAGTCTGTGT